CAGGCAGGCAGGCGGCAGGGGGCGGCGGGCCGGGCAGTGGGGAAGCAGGGAGGAAGCCAGGCGACCTGCTCTGCGCTTCTTTGTTCCCCTCTAGGGTGACGGAGCTGCTCCCCCCGTTCCAGAGACTCATCCAGCCGGAGGAGATGTGGCTCTACCGGAACCCCTACGTGGAGGCGGAGTATTTCCCCACCAAGCCGATGTTTGTGCGTGGAGAAAGATCGTCCCTCTTCCCTCCCTGTAACCGGGCTTCCCGCGGGCACCTGTGCTTTTTCCTCCGTGGAGACGGCCTCTGTAGGGACCTACTACCCACTCCGCTGCTATGCGCTGGGTTCCGCCTCCTAGGGCTCTAGTGTTTAAGATCCTGATTGAGAGAGGAGGATGTCCGAGCCTCTTTCGGCTGATACAACGTTTTCCCGGGTGCTCTGTGCCTCAGCCTGAGGTACCGGGGCCCGAGCCGCACAGTTGCTGTTGTTCGCTGGTGGCGCCGCCTGGCTCCCGGTTATGCGCTTTCAGACACCTTATGTTAGCGCTAGTGAGTCCTGCTGTTTCACGTCCCTCTTTCCTGTAGGAGCTACTTTAACCATGAGTGTGGCTTTTTTTTTTTTTTTTTAATTGTTTTTAACCTCTGACATTCTAATTCAGGTTATTGCATTTCTCTCTCCACTGTCTCTGATCTTCCTGGCCAAATTTCTCAAGAAGGCAGACACAAGAGACAGCAGACAAGCCTGCCTGGGTGAGCACTAGTCCTTTCTGGCCGGTGTCTTCGTGCTGGGAACCTAGGAAGTCGTTGTGGGGTTCAGCCACGGTGAGCCTGTGTGGAGGCCACTGAGTTCTGCATTCCTAAAGGAACTCCATCCCCGCGGGAGAGGAAAATAGCACTGCAGGGACTTGGTTATGCAGGCTACACCGCAGGCAGCCCTGTGCCTAAATGCACTGGGTTATTTGTACTTCAGAAATGTCTTTGGCCTAGTACAAAAGTTCTCGACTACAAAAGTGATCACTGAAGACCTTAATTATTTTTGGGCCCAGGTCTTGTTGGATTCTATCCATCTCAGAAACAGTACGGCTGCTCTCTTAATGAGGCTATGACCATGCCTTTCCTCCTAGACAGATCCTTCTAACTTAGGGCTTTGCTTTGCAGCTGCCAGCCTTGCCCTGGCTCTGAATGGCGTCTTTACCAACACAATAAAACTGATCGTAGGGAGGTAAGTGACGACAGCTAACCACCTCAGCGTCTGCTTCAGCCCTTACCCACCAGGACAGTGGTGGTGTCCACCACACGTCTTTCTCATTCTTTTCCCTTTATCTTCACTCTGATTTTTCTTTTCTCATTCAACGCTTACTCCCTTCCCCATACCTCAGTCCTCCAGGTGACACCTGGGCTCTTTTCTGCCCTGAACAGCATTTCCCACCAATGGCCACAGCAGAGCCGGTCAGTGTCCTCTCGAGCACCTCCTGAAGCTGCAGTGTCATTTGCTGTTTGCCCTAGAAACTAATCATGTACTGGAATGGGGTTTTCCCCTAATTTAAATGCTGACCTTGGAAGTAAGACTTTTCTCTTAGTGTGGTGACTATACTAATCCAGTTACTTTATTTTGCCTGGGGCACTGTTTGACCAATAGTTAACAGGATTATTAATGTCTGCTACAACTGAAAAATAATTTCTGGAGTTAATGATTGACGTTCTAACCATGCCTCTTGCTTCCAGGCCACGCCCAGATTTCTTCTACCGCTGCTTCCCTGATGGGCTAGCCCATTCTGACTTGATGTGTACAGGGGATAAGGACGTGGTGAATGAGGGCCGAAAGAGCTTCCCCAGCGGACATTCTTCCTGTATGACTATCATATGGACTCTACCCCTATGCTTGTTTTCATGTCATTGAATTTAACCTAGAAAGCTAGTAGGCTAGTAGGGATGGGAAAATCTGACTACTCTTGTTTCTAGAATTTGGAAACCCCGCCCCCTGCCCCCCCGCCGGCCCCCCGGCCCCTTCTTTAGTAACTCCACAGTTTAGCAAGTCTGAGCCTTGACTATCTGGGTAAATATTACAGAACAGAAAGAATTTACCTTTATAAGATTTGCACAGTTAATTATTATTATATTATTTGCCTGGATCCTGCAATCTTGTACTAGCAGTAAAAATACCTTTAACGAAGAGTTTATGTGTGTCAGGTGCTTGGAAGCATTTTCATTTACCTAATTATAGCTTACAATAATCCAGTGAGGTGGGGACTATTATTTTTATGAGTCCCATTTATAGATGAGGAAACTAAAGCATCAACAAGTTAATTCATATAGCTAGTATTCTGAAAACTATACTCTGATAAAACATGAACTTTGGGGCACTAAGTCCTTCATTTTTCTTTTTGTTTCCCTTTCCTTCACAATGATTTACACTAGAAGTATACACAAAAAAGGATTAAAACATCCTCATGGCCGCGTGTGGTGGCTCATACCTGTAATCCCAGCAATTGGGAGGCCAAGGCATGCAGGTCACTTGAGGCCAGGAGTTCGAAACCAGGCTAACCAACATGGTGAAATCCCGTCTCTACTAAAAATAAAAAAATTAGCCGTGCGTGGTGGCACATGCAAATAGTCCCAGTTACTCAGGAGGCTGAGGCAGGAGAATCGCTTGAACCCGGGTGGTGGAGGTTGCAGTGAGCCGAGATGGTGCCACTGCACTCCAGCCTGGATGACAGAGCAAGACTCTGTCTCAAAAATAAATAAATAAATAAAAACATACTCATGCTTCCTAGCCTCCTATGTGGGGATGAATGAAGCTTCCTTTAAAAGACACACCACTTAAAAGTTTTTCTTGTTCCAGTTGCATTTGCTGGTCTGGCCTTTGCTTCCTTCTACCTGGCAGGGAAGTTACACTGCTTCACACCACAAGGCCGTGGGAAATCTTGGAGGTTCTGTGCCTTTCTGTCACCTCTACTTTTTGCAGCTGTGATTGCACTGTCCCGCACATGTGACTACAAGCATCACTGGCAAGGTAAGCAAAGTACTCAAGCCATGGAAGCTTGCATATTTCACTCATTTTATTCCTAGCACCTAGCATAGAGGAGACGGTTACTAAATATCTGCTGAATGAACAAAACAATGAATATGGATGGTCTGGGTTCTATACTAAGAATATACATTTAAAATTATAGGAAAGATAAGACAAAAAGAGTTTACCAAAGATATCCTAATTTTTCCATTATTTGAAGTATTGTAAGTTCAAGTTAAACTGCATCTACAGGAAATTTAAAACCTCAGAGTTCAATTTACTCTCTTAAAAATTAGGTTCATGGTCATAGGACTTTTGTTCAAAAATATAAGTAAAATTCAAGAAAACGTAAAATTATAATCAAACCAAACAAGTTTAAGCTGAATGCTATAGTAAGTAAAATATCCAAATTGTAGAACACCTGGCTGGGCGTGGTGGCCTATGCCTATAATTCCAGCACTTTGGGAGGCTGAGGCAGGCAGATCGCCTGAAGTCAGGAGTTCAAGACCATCCTGGCCAACATATTGAAACCCCGTCTCTATTAAAAATACAAAAACTGAGGCCAGGCGCAGTGGCTCACGCCTGTAATCCCAGCACTTTGGGAGGGTGAGGTGGGTGGATTACCTGAGATCAGGAGTTCAAGACCAGCCTGACCAACAGAGTGAAATGCTATCTCTACTAAAAATACAAAATTAGCTGGGCGTGGTGGCACATGCCTTTCATCCCAGCTGCTTGGGAGGCTGAGGCAGGAGAATGGCTTGAACCTGGGAGGTAGAGGTTGCAGCGAGCCGACATCGCACCACTGCACTCCAGCCTGGGCAATGAGAGCAAAACTCTGTCTCAAAAATAAATAAATAAAAATACAAAAATTAGCCAGGCATGGTGGCACATGCTTGTAGTCCCTAGTCCCAGCTACTCAGAAGGCTGTGGCAGGAGAATTGCTTGAACCCAGGAGGTGGAGGTTGCAGTGAGCTGAGATCACGCCACTGCTCTCCAGTCTGGGTGACAGAGTGAGACTCTGTCTAAAAAAAATAAAAAATTATAGAATACCTTCAAAACCACAATTCCAAAAAAACGTTGGAAGTACTGCCCACAGGTCCTCAGGAACCCTATTTTAAATAAACTAGTTTTCTGCAAAGAGAAGCAACTTTTTTTTTTTTTTTTTTTTTCAAGCGATTCTCCTGCTTCAGCCTCCTGAATAGCTGGGATTACAGGCATGTGCCACCACACCCGGCTAATTTTTGTATTTTTAGTAGAGATGGGGTTTCACTTGGCCAGGCTGGTCTCGATCTCCTGACCTCGTGATCCGCCTGCCTCGTCATCTCAAAGTGCTGGGATTACAGGCGTGAGCCACTGCGCCCGGCGAGAAGCAACCCTTAAAATACTTTATTCCTTCCTCTAGGACCCTTTAAATGGTGAAAATGGGTAGATGAATAGCAGTAAGTGGACCTTTGTTACTCTTCTGAGTTAGAAAAATTCTAATTTAGTACACTCAGAACAAAGCTTATTATACTTACTTAAGATGTGTTTTGATTTGGTGTTCGGAGAGCAACGTGATAATGATAATCCTGTAACTATGATAAAATTGAGAATAAAAATATTTTATTTAGAAACCATAAATCTGGAATTGAGGTTATTTTAAGCACCACCGTAGAGTATCCTGGAGGGCCAGGTCCTCTACGCTACATGTGTTTGTAGTAGGATTTAGGAGCCTAATATTAAGAGAAGACATTGTTTCCACTCTCTTCAGATGTACTAGTTGGATCCATGATTGGAATGACATTTGCCTATGTCTGCTATCGGCAGTATTATCCTCCTTTGACTGATGCAGAATGCCATAAACCATTTCAAGACAAACTTGCACTTCCAACTGCACAGAAGAAGCCTGGGGATTCTTATTGTTTTGATATTTAAAAATTGAATCTGGCTGGGCATGGTGGCTCATGCCTGTAATCACAACACTTTGGGAGGCCGAGGAGGGTGGATCACCTGAGGTCAGAAGTTCGGGACCAGCATGGCCAACGTGATGAAACCCCGTCTCTACTAAAAATACAAAAATTAGCCGGGAGTGGCGATGTGCCTGTAATTCCAGCTACTCGGGAGGCTGAGGTAGGAGAATTGCTTGAACCTGGAGGCGGAGGTTCCAGTGAGCCAAGATCGTGCCACTGCACTCCAGCCTAGGCAACAGAGCGAGACCCTCCTCAAAAAAAAAAAAAAAAAATTGAATCTACCTTAATGGAAAACAGGTGAACTAGCCCTCCTAACTGGACCATGCACAAGACAAGAAATTCTGGCCTTTTTTTCCTCTTCCAAGGTGCAAGTGAGGACATAAGCTACACTGTATTCTGCCTCCAAATGATTACACATTTTTGTCCCTGCTCACACAGATCTATCTTGAGGAGTTACGGTTCTTTTCTACTACTGTATGCCATACATTCTAGTAAAAGGATCTTTCAAAGGTGTCCAACACCTTATAAATCTGGTCTATCAGATTGATATCCGAAGATCTACAGTGTTTTTACATTTAATTTAAATGCCATTCTTAGAAAGATCTTGTCACAAAGAAGCCTTTACATAGCCCCATCTTATCTCAGAAGCTAATTATCAAAACTTAATTTCCATTTCGTATAGCTCAAGATCTTAAAATCTAGGACATGGCCAACTAAATTACTTTGATTCTGTTTACCTTCTCTGATGACAATTCCATCAAGCCTTAAATAGGAAAATGTTGAATCTGGGGTAATTTATCACTTTTGTGCACATCTTATCTGAGTCCAGCCATCTGGTACTGCTGTACATTTTGAACACCGTGGGTATAAACAATTTGTTGAATTACTAAGTGAACACAATAATAAAGAAGAAAATGGTCAGGAGTGTGGTTTCAGCACTACTAACAGATGACTGTTTCTACCTCATTTAACCATAACTGTGCTCGTGAGCTTCCTTCCTTCCATTCATGACTGAAGATCTGCTCAAATGCACCAACACTGCCAAGTGACTAAGGCAGAAAAGAAAAATGACAGGTATCATCATCTGAAGGACAGATGAATCTTTTTCTGCCTCTTCCTCACAATGGGATATAAGGAACAATTACAGGATGTCATCAGAACTGATGCTGTAGGACCTACAGCTCCCTTTCTCTTTATTGTGATTGTACTTTAAATATGACCTTGTCTTTTATGTGTATCTTCCTGTATTTTCAATATATCTATCTTTTTCCTTCAGTAAACCTGATATTCAAATAAAATGGTAAATGTGTGCTTTTTAAAATATTTAAATTACATTAAGGGGCTGGAACTTTAGTAAAGCAAAACACTGAATTCCCCATCCGCCATAAGTGATTCAACTGCTGTTATCTATAGTACTGGCTAATATTTACAAATACCAAAGGAAAGTCTCTTATAATTGCCATGCTTTAAATTCTGAACTTAAATTCTGCCTATGACAATGAAAATACCAGTCAACGGGAAAGAATTTACATATTAGTTCTTTGCCCAAAACTTATTTTTTTGTTTTAGTAATACATAAAGGCAGATAAAATCGTGACTGTATTGATTTTCTTGACTTTGTGACAGGTGACTCCAGGTAAAAGTAGGCCACTAGTCAGTATGGTTCCATTTTAGTATTTACTAAATTTTTAAATATAATCACGTAAAAAACAAACATTTCAAAAGTGCAAAATATTAGAAATCTAATCAGTGCTATTAATCTTTCCATGCAAACAATCTCTTTTGCTGAGATAAGTGATACTAGTTCTGCAGCTGGGAATATGTACAAAATGATGCTATACCAGACTTTAAAAATAGGCTTGGTCTAGAGATTGCACATAATACAAATGAAGCAGTGCAAATAATATATGACTAAATACAGGATTTCAATCAAGCTTATTATCCTGGGAATATACAGCTATAATACCATGAATAGACAAGATATAAAGTTCTTTCACAGTTACCCACCCTTCACCACTAGGAAAGAAACATTCCTTAATACAAAGAGTAGTTTATCTGGCTATCCAGGGCTATGCTGTCCATCTTTGGTTACAGGGACTCCCTCTGCTTATCCTTTGGTTTACTCTTAAACAGCACCTGTTCTGCCAATAGGAAGAGTAAACATAAATTTGAAGACCACAACTTGGCAAAAGCTTCCCCTTAATATACAGTGAATACTTAATTCTCAATAACTCAGAGTTTATATACTTTTTAAAAAATAAAGTATTCCATATATCTGAAACTTAGTGGCATACTTAGCATTAGGCTATAAGGAGATGACAAAGAAAGGCCAGGCCTGACCTATACCCCAACCTTACCTCTACAGTCTCCATGGTGACAGTAATTACCCTTCATTTTCCTTTTCTCTCCAGAAAGGGATAAAGATCACTGCTGTCTAAGGAATGGCTTAGTAAATATTAAATGCCAGTGGCTTCGGAAACCATAACATTTATAAAAAAATTTATAAACAGTAAACCACAGCTCGCCTGCCTTTGTCACTCTATAAACAGAGGCCTGTGGAATCTGAGAGCAAGTATAAAGGACTATCATAAAGAGAACTACAAAGACAGTGACAAACTCTGACCAATGAAGAAGAAAAATCTACAGCAAAGTAGTGAAAAGATGCCTTGACAAAATTAGTGTGCAGTCACTTATGTTCTTAGAAGTAAACCTCACTTCATATGTTGCAGATTCGGCTGACACTGACTGCAATAGCTGTTTCTTGGACCCTACAGAAATAAGTTTTTCTTTCAGAATAAGTTAAACATTTCCCCCTAGCCAAACCTACCTGCCAACCAATGCTGCCTATGCCAAGAGCCTTTTAAATATGCTTTGCAGATTATGGATGCCTAAGAAGGAAAGAGGATACACAATACTACCTTAGCCCAAGTAGAAATGGCAGGTGACAAATTCTGTTTCACCATAAAGGCACCACTAAAAGATTTTATTTAGAACCTCAGCAGCCTGTACAGGCTACGTAATTTCAGGTTCATCAGCTTTTACAACTACTTTCAACATAAGAATAGAAGCTATTAGCAAATAACTTATATCAAATATAAAAGGGAGGCCTAGGATTTACAACATCTTTGCTTTATAAAGATGCATCTAACATGAACTAACTTGTCAACTTTAGACTCTTACAGCAGCTCAAACAGTTGCAAAAACAATGAACAGTGATTTCTGGCAATAAGTCTGTCAGTTCTAAGAGAGTAAACAACACTTTTTTAAAGCTACATTTTAGTCTTTCTTCATATACTACACATAAGAAAGAAATGCAGGTTAAAAAATAAATGACCCAAAAGTCTTTTTCATATCCACTGAGACTTAGCCTTCAGTTCAATACAAACAAGAGATAAGTGTACTCCAAAATGCCTTCTAAATCTCAAGAATCTGTTTCCAAACTAGAACATTTTCTAAAGATAAGCAATAAGTTCCTTAAAAACATGTCTACGCCACCCAAAACAAATCAAACCCAAAATAGGCTATACACCATGTCAAGTACTAATCAATAAAGTGTGGCACCTACAAACTATTATCAAAGAATTAAAGATACAAACCACCCCCAGCTATGAAGAAAAAATGGCAAGTGTTTATATGAAGCCAGTGGTTAAAAGTAATAAGGCCTTTTGCTTTTCCATTCATTTCCAAAGAGGAAGATTATCTTCCAAAGACCACAGTGGTGAGTAAGTGGCAGCCAACATGCAGGAAATGACGCAGCTGAGGAGAGGAAAATTGCAGCAACAAACAGGTGGATTTTCTGGGGAAGGATCCCTCAATGTCCGTCTAGGGAAGAAAGTGGGAGAAGAGCTGCAGTCACAACTGGAAGGCAACCACAGAGAATGCCAGAGTCGAATATACAGACTTTGTAATTTCACATCTAAAAGGCTGAGTAATTTAAATCTCAGGATGGGTGGTTGGTAATTAAAATCATAACTGTTGCCACAGCAATTCTTAGTAACAGAACCATTAAGACTCTGAGTTTAGATCCTAAAAAATGACAGGTGTCATTGGACAAAATCTCTAGCAAAACAGACATACACTAATCTTCCTCTAAATGGGCTACTGTGTTTTTTTCCCCATAAATTTCTACCAGTCCCTCTAAAAATGAATAGCAGCCTAGATCCTGGTGATAGACAATAGCAAGTATATTTACAAAGAGCTTGAGGCTCCATCGCTCATTATAACATGTTAATATGTAAGAATTATACTACATACATGACATTTTAAAACTTACATTAAGCAGGCATAGATGGGTTATTTTTACTGTAAAGGCTGATCAAGGAAGATACCCTGGGTTTGGTAGATCTCTTTGAGGACCAGCAATACTGTGTCTTCAGACTCCCTATAAAGAAAAAAATTATATTGAGAAAAGGAACTAACATTTGTGCCAAATGTTTTACATATATTATCTCATTTAATCCATACAACCATTTTGCAAGTTTATTTTTCACTTTTGCAAAGAAATGAGATTCAGAGGTAATGTAATTGGCAGTGGTTTGGAAGGTGACCTAGCAAAGAACTCTGGCATTAAATCTAGTAATATAAAAAAGCTAGTAAGAGAGGCCAGGTGCGGTGGCTCACGCCTGTAATCCTAACACTCTGGGAGGCTGAGGTGAACAAGTCACTACAGGTCTGGAGTTTGAGCTAGCCTGGCCAACATGGTGAAACCCTGTCTCCACTAAAAATACAAAAACTAGGGCCAGGCACGGTGGCTCACGCCTGTAATCCCAGCACTTTGGGAGGCCGAGGTGGTTGGATCACGAGGCCAGGAGTTCGAGACCAACCTGGCCAATATGGTGAAACCCTGTCTCTACTAAAAATACAAAAATTAGCAGGGTGTGGTGGTACGCACCTGTAGTCCCAGCTACTGGGGAGACTGAGGTAGAAAAATCGCTTGAACGTGGGAGGCGGAGGTTGCAGTGAGCCGAGATCATGCCACTGCACTCTAGCCTGGGCGATAGGTGAGACTCCCTCTAAAAAAAAAAAAAACTAGCCAGGCATGGCAGCATGTGCCTATAGTCCCAGCTATTCATGAGGCTGAGGCAGGAGAATTGCTTGAACCCAGGAGGCGAAGGCTGCAGTGAGCCGAAGGTTGCAGAGAGCTACTGCACTTCAGCCTGGGCCACAGAGTGAGACTCTGTCTCAAAAAAAAAAAAAAAACAAAGAGGCCAGTAAGAAATAACCAAGAATTGTTCCTTTTCCACAGAGATCATTCTAGAGACACTACTGAAGAGTTATCCAGTTGGTCACCTTAATTTTTAAAATATTATGCACTTTCTGGAAAAGGTAATACAATCATAAGGTTCCAAATTCCAAAAATATAATAAAGTAATGAAGTCTCCCTCCCACCTTTGTTCCTCAACCACCACCAGTTCCCATCTTCTGACAACCAGTGTTATCAATTTCTCATGCATTTTCCAGATATTATTCTATGTATGCACAAGCAATTACTTACATCCACAGTTCATAACGAAATTTGATTTAAAAAGATTAACATTCATGAGGGACTGCCTTAAGGATATAAGGCTCTAATTCTTCTAGATCTGTGGTTCAACATTTATGGAGTCATGCATCCTTTTGAGAATCTAATGAAATTATGGATTTCTCCCCAGAAAGGATCACATTGCAACCACAATTATAAATGTGTATTTCACTGGATTCACAGACTTCCCTCATCTCCCACAAACTCATAGACACAGACCCCAGCTTAAGAAATTCCTGTATCAACAAGTGGGAATTAGCTCTATCAGATATTAAAATGGTACATAAATAAGCAAATCAATAAATAAGAAGTTGAGAAATAGTCCCATTTATGTATAGGAATTTAATTAAGTGGCCATGCACGGTTGGCTTACACCTATAATCCTAACATTCTGGGAGGTTGAGGCAGGTGGATCACCTGAGGTCAGGAGTTCGAGACCAGCCTGGCCAACATAGTGAAACCCCATCTCTACCAAAACTACAAAAACTAGCTGGGCATGGTGGCGCATGCCTATAGTCCCAGCTACTCAAGAAGCTGAGGCAGGAACATCATTTGAACCCAGAAGGCAGAGGTTGCAGTGAGCCAAGATCATACTACTGCACTTCAGCCTGGGCGACATAGCAAGACTCTGTCTCAGAAAAAAAACCAAAGAATTTAATTAAGTTAGAATCTCAAATCTATTAATAGTGTTGAGACATGTGGGGAAAAAAGGACCTGAATCTGAATCAGATTTATATGTAAAAATGAGATGATAAAATATTAGAATAGCCAGGCATG